CATGAGCCACCACACATGGCTAAAATGGACAAATTTGTTGAAGAAAAAAAAAAACAAACTTACCCAAATTAACTCAAGAAGAAACAGAAAATCTAGTAATTCTATTTCCATTAGCAATGAAATTTGTTGATGAAAATCTTTCCACAAAGAAAACTTTGGCCTAGATGGTTCCCTGTGGAGTTCTATCAAATATTCAAGGTAGAAATAACACCAGTCTTACACAAACTTTTCAGAATATAGCCGAGGAGGGATCACAGTCCAGCCCATTTGTATAAATCTAGCGTATACCTAATACCAAAATCTGACACTGACATTACGAAAAATAAGAAACCCATCCCATGAAGAATATGATCCAAAAATCCTTAATACTGTAATAGCAAATGGAATACAACAGTATATGATGTACATAATGACCAAGTAATTTTATCCCAGAAATGCCAGTTTAGTTTAACATTTGAAAACAAATCAATGTAATTAAACATATTAACAGTAAAGGAGAAAAATCATGGGATCATTTTAATAGACACAGAAAAGACATTTGACAAAAATCAATACCCATTCACGATTAAAAAACAAAAAACCTCTCAGAAGCTAGAAACGGTACAGATCTACCTCAAACTGATAAAGGGTATTTGTGAAAAACTAAAGCCAACATCATACTTATAATGAAGACTGAATTGTTTTCCCCTGAAATGGAGAATAAGACAAGGATTCCCATTTTCATTGCAATTCAACATCCATCCCAATTCAACATTGTCCTGGAGGTTTTAATTACTATGTTAAGGCAAGGAAAACAAACAAAAGGTGTAAAAATTAGAGAGGAAGACATGAAACTGCCCCTATTTCAGACGATACAGTTGTTCACGTAGAAAACTTCAGAGGATCTACAGAGCAACTCTGAGAACTAAAAAGTGGATTTAGCAAAGTTGCAAGATAGAAAGTTAATATACAAAAAATATGATATTCTTATATATGGTATCAGCAGACAATTGGGAAATGAAATTTTAAAACAGTTCCATTTACCGTAGTGCCCCCAAAATCATAAATCTCTAAGGTATTTATCTGACAAAATATGTTCAAGATTTATACACTGAAAATTAAAATTGGAAGACTCAATGTTATTAAGATGACTGTTCTCCTCAAAGTGACTTATAGATTTATCATGGTCTCAATATTCTAATGATCTTTTAAAAAATATAAATTGGCAAGCTGATTCAAGAATTTATTTGGAAATGTAAAGGACGCTTTAAAAAAGCAATTTTTCTAAGAAAAAGTTGGAGGACTTCACACTATCTGATTTTAAGATTAATTGGTGAAAAGACAGACATAGAAATCAATGGTAAGAACAGAAAATTCATCTTCTGAAAATGGGAGGTGGAAAAAATAGGGAAATCAGAAATAAAACAACACGTATATGATTGTTTGATACTCTACACAGGAGCTGAGGCAATGCAAGGGGGGAAATAAGTCTTTTCAACAAAGACTGCTCCATAACCTGATTCTCTATGGGAAAAAAGCAGACATTAGTGTTTGTATCACACTATATAAAATAATTAACAAGTGGATCACAGACTTAATATAAAAATTTTAAATGTAAGATGCCTAGAAGAAAGCATAGGGGAAAATATTTGCAAGCTTGGGAGTAGGCAAAGATTCCTTAGAACAAAGAAAGCACATTTTATGGGAAAAGATATGAATCGACTTCTTCAAAATTACAAACTTTAGCTCTTTGAAAGACACGTTTAAAAAACAGCAAGGTAAGCCACAGACCGGGAGAACTTTCTTTGTGCAAGCTGACTCCCTATATCCTTAGAAAGATCTGGTGGGCTGGAGAAGATCTAAGAAGGCAGGGGAGTTAACGACCCAGGAACGTGACAAAAAGGTGAACTCTGAAGTATACAGAGACAAAATGGGTGTGAAAGGCACAGAAGCTGAGGTGTTGACCAAATCTCACAGCAGCTGACAGAAATGTCTGTGAAAGGAGACACTGTGGAACAAATACAATGAATGCATTCTTTACCTATGGAGGAGGAAAGATTTTGTGTGTGTGTGTGTTTGTTTGTTTTAATAGTTAAAGTTCTGGGATACATGTGCAGAACGTGCAGGTTTGTTACACAGGTATATACGTGCCATGGTGGTTTGCTGCACCCATCAACCCATCATCTACATTAGGTGTTTCTCCTAATGCTATCCCTCCCCCAGCCCCCGACTCCCCGACAGGCCCTGGTGTGTGATGTTCCCCTCCTTGTGCCCATGTGTTCTCATTGTTCAACTCCCACTTATGAGTGAGAACATGTGGTGTTTGGTTTTCTGTTTTTGTGTTAGTTGACTGAGAATAATGGCTTCCAGCTTCATTCATGTCCCTGCAAAGGACATAAACTCATCCTTTTTTATGGCTGTATAGTATTCCATGGTGTATATGTGCCACATTTTCTTTATCCAGTCTATCATTGATGGGCATTTGGATTGGTTCTAAGTCTTTGCTATTGTGAACAGTGCTGCAATAAACATATGTGAGCATGTGTCTTTATAGTAGAATGATTTATAATCCTTTAGTTATATACCCAGTAATGGGATGGCTGGGTCAAATAGTGTTTCTGGTTCTAGATTCTTGAGGAATCACCACACTGTCTTCCACAATGGTTGAACTAATTTACACTCCCACCAGCAGTGTAGAAGTGTTCTTATTTCTCCACATCTTCTGGAGGAGGAAGGTTTCTGAGTTTTTCCCCTGAGAGATGGCACATAGACAGGTTCAAGAAGAAGTTAATTCTACAGCATATTAAAGGAATCTGTGAATGTTTGGGAATTCCATTCCCTCCCCATTCTAAGTTTGATAACCATCCTGCTTGGTCCTCTCTGTGCCCGCCCCTCCCCCACTCTTAGCCTTTCCAAACCTCTGCTTTCCCTTCCCACGCCTTCTTCCTTTCATGCGACTTGGGGAGGATGCACCGTCTTTAGTCCCAGACCACATCTTCTTGCCAGTGATTGGCCAATAGGTGGGCATGAGACCCAGTCCCGACCATTGAGTCCTCGGCGTAAGGAGTCTGGATATAATCACATGTCTTCCTGTGCAAAATAGCCTTGCTATCACTTCATTCAAATTTAGATTTTAAACTAATTCTAATTCTTACCATGGCTTGAAAAGTCCAGCTAAGAGCCACGGCCCATCCCAGAAGCAGCATGGGATTTTTCTAAGGTTTAACAGGACAGCCCAGCAATCTGTGTGCTCTTGTCTTCTGAACACCTCCAGCGAGCACAAATCCAACTTTGAATCCTTCAGTGGATCCTGTTTTAAGGGACCATATCTCCCCTGACCACCTTGCATGCCTCTTATTAAATAAGCGAGTTCTATGGCTATCTTGCTTCAGACACAATTGCAGTAGGTTCTACTAACCTAGATGTCTAATCATAATTATAGAATCCCCCACTGCCTTCAATCATTTTGCCGTTTTGGTTTGTTGTTGTTATTGTTGTTGTTTTTGAGATGGAGTCTCGCTCTGTTGCCAAGCTGGAGTGCAGTGGCATGATCTCGGCTCACTGCAACCTCCACTTCCTGGGTTCAAGTGATTCTCCTGCCTCAGCCTCCCCGAGTAGCTGGGACTACCGGCACACGCCACCATACCCAGCTAATTTTTTTATATTTTTAGTAGAGACAGGGTTTCACCATGTTGGCCTGGATGGTCTCGATCTCCTAACCTCGTGATCCACTTGCTTCAGCCTCCCAAAGTGCTGGGATTACAGGCGTGAGCCACTGCACCCAGGTGGTATTTTTTCTTTAGTTTTTCATTTCTGACCCTGTAACAATCCTGTAATAATGGGGACAACTAAATGGGGAGCAGTGGGAAGAGCTGTTCAGGGACACTGTGTGTGGACTTTTGTCTTCATTAGCAATGATCACTGTGACCCACTGAGTGGTGCCAAGAAAGAGAATTGGGCAGCCTGAGGTGACTACAGCCACTGACTGTCCAGACTGTGTGTCGTATGGGGAAAAAAATGAACTCTCTCTGATTCCCTCTGCTCCCCTGACCCAGGAGATGGGGAAGGTGATAGTGAGGGTCTTTGGGGTTAAGGGATTGGTTAGGAGTAAGACCAAAGACCAGGGAGAACTTTCTCTGAAATAATGAGAATTCAAGTCAAAGTAGAGGTCCCTTGGCACAGCTGACAACGCTCTCAAATTCGAAAAGAGATAGCAGAGCCTCCTTTTGTTTATAGTCAAAATGATGTGTCTCTGTGACTTGTCAACCTTTTAAAGTGATGCTAAATAACCAATTAATATGGAAATATATGCTCCTACCCTCCCATGCAATCCGTACCAGGTTTCCCCGCAGCTCCTGGGAGGGTCTGCTGGGCTGACATGAGGAGCCCTGCAGTGCTGATCTGACCTGAGCGGAGCAGATGAGCTTTCTGGGGACTAAGGAGAAGGCATGTTTCCAGCTGCCAGCGGGGGAGGAGGACTGCTCCTTAGAATTTCCAGTTCAGGCACAGATGGAGAAGGGAAGCACAAGTGTAAAGTTCACACTCTGAAATTACATCCAAGCCGAAAACAAGGCAGCTGGGCAGCTGTTCTGGGAGCCAAAGTCCTAGCGGTTGCCATTCAGAGAGAGAAAAAAGGAAGGAATCTACAGAAATAATCATCAGGTCTCATGGGTTCAGCAGCTCTTAGGTCTCAAACTCTTGTTGCCTCTAGGACCTCATCTGACCCTCTAACTGGACACAGCACTGGTTTGGAAGATGGCAGATACTGTTCTACCAGAAGCAGACTGTGTGGCCTGGGTCAGGCTCCTATGTATAGAGTCTAGATCACAACGTCTGCTTTACAAGCTTGTTACAGATGAGCAAACACTTGTCCAGCCATCACATAAGAGGAAGACCAAGACACAATTCCTGTCCTCCAGGAATTCCAGGCTCTGGGTGAAGGTGCTTCCCTATTCTAAGCCATTGGCACCTTTCCTCTGCCAGAGACTCTCTCCACCTTCTCCTTTAGGTATCAGCTTACGTGTCACTGCCACCAGGGAGCCTTCTCTACCACTACTCCTCACCAATCCCCCCACCAACCAGCTGGATTAGATCTCCTGCCCAATGCTCCTGCTGCATCCCTCATTTCTCCATCATCGTAACCAGCACCCCTGTAACTCAATGTTGGCTTGTATTCCCCACTCGACTGTCAGCATCAAGAAGTCAAGGACAGTCTCAAGTACTGCTGGAGACACTGAACACAGTGCCTGGCACAAAAGAGGTACTTAAGGAAGATCCATTGAACCAAATGAACTAGTCTGGGGGGAGATGATGCTATGGTTTGAATGTGTACCCTTAAAAATTCAGATGTTGAAACTTAATGGCCAGTGTGATGGTATTAAGAAGTGAGGCCTGTAAGAGCAATTAGGTATGAGGACTCCTGCCCTCATGAATGGGATTAAGGCCCTTATAAAGAGGCTTCACAGCATTTGACTCTCTTGTCCTTCAGCCTCCTGCCATGTGAGGACACAGCATTCCCCGCTCTGTAGGATGCAGCAATAGGACGCCATCCTGGAAGCAGAGAGCAACTGTCACAGACAACTGAACTTGCCAGTACCTTGCTCTTGGACATCTCAGCCTCCAGACTGTGAGAAGTAAGTTCCTGTTCTTTATAAATCACCCAGTCTCGGATATTTTGCTATAGCAACACACAGTGGACAGATGGATGAAACAGTTGGAGCACAGAGGGTTTTTGGGGAAGTGAAAACACTGTATGGTGTTTACATATCATCACACACTTGTCCAAACCCATAGAATGTACAACACCAAAAGCGAGCCCTAAAGTAAACTGTGAGCTTTGGGTGAGGACGTGGCAATGTAGGTTCATCGACTCTAACAACTATACCAGTCGGTGGAGGATGCTGACAATGGGGGACCCGTATACGTGTGGGGGCAGCAGACACGTGGGGAATCTCTGTGCCTCCTGCTGTTTTGCTGTTGATGTGGTTTATCTGTGTCCCCACCCAAATCTCAGGTTGAATTGTAATCCCCAGTGTTGGAGATGGGGCCTGGTGAGAGGTGATTGGATCATTGGGGTGGTTTCTCGTGAATGGTTTAGCACCATGCCCCTGGTACTATTCTCATGACACAGATCTCATGAGACCTGGTTGGTTAAAAGTGTGCAGCACCCCCCGCCTCTGTTGCTCTGGCTCCAGCCATATAAGACATTCAAGAGTTTCCTGCTTCCCCTTCGCCTTCCTCCACAATCTAAAATTTCCTGGAGCCTCCCCGGAAGCCGGGCAAAAGCCTCTATGCTTCTGGTACAGCCTGTAGAACCATGAACCAGTCAAACCTCTTTTCTTTATAAAGCACCCAGTTTCAGGGATTTCTTTATAGCAATGTGAGCACAGACTAATACAGCTATGAACCTAAAATTGCTTTAAATAAAGCCTTTAATTTTTTTAAAAAAGTAGCTAGGCATGGCGGTGTGGGCCTGTAACCCCAGCTACTCCAGAGGCTGAGGTGGGAGGATCCCCTGAGCCCAAGAGTTCGAGGCTGCAGTGAGCTGGGTCATACCACCTCACTCCAGCCTGGGTGACAGAGCAAGACTCCAACTCACATTTTTTTAAAAAAAGAAAATAAATAAATGAAGTAAAATAGCCTTATCTGTATCTTTACAGACAAGAAACCAGATGTCCAAAGAAGCGATGTTGCCAAGGCCACAGCAAGTTGACTGGCAAAGCTGGGACTAGTACACCGCATTCTGACCCCAGTCACTGCTCTCCTGAGCGAGGGAACTACTGCTGTGTGTCTATGACCGTAAAACAGGAGGAGAAACAGCAGAAATGGAAGGAGGGTGCGTAATGGAGCCAGCTCCCCTAATGCTCTCCATTTTACTCCCTGCCACTGTCTTGTCAGAGTGTCCTCCCTAACACCATGAACACTGTTTCTTAGCAAAACTCAGAAGTGTTGCAAGGTTGACGCGAGGCCATGCCACCACCCCCAGGCCCTAGCCAAAGAGCCATCCTGGCGTCTGTGAGGCCTGGGTGTCTGTCAGTGAGCTGCAGGAACCACGGACGGTTCAAGGTCTTTGGAGAAGGCATGAAACTCAGTGCTTATTCACAGCACACTCGGTAATGACTCCTGGTTTTATGTACAATGAATACATATTACAGAATTATCATACGGTAGATTTATGGGAGGTGGGAAGTAACTGAGTTTTACGAAAAATAATTACTGCCATCAAGTTGATATAATTACTTGCACTGGTTTGTTGGGGCTGCTATCCAATTTTATTTATAGGCAATTTTTCTGATATGGTTTAAGCTACACCCAGAGGATAACCAGTCTGTTTTAATTTATTTCCAGGATGCCTCTCTGCCACCTCAGCTGGGCCTGGAGGGGCCGTGCTGTGCAGCGGCTCTGGATGTCGTCAGCAGCCTGGAAGGCAGGACTGGCCTGCGAACCCTTGCCCTTCTGCTTGGAGAAGAGAGTAGATACGGATCATTATTGTCAGATTCCTGCCACGGTTGTTCTTCTCTTGAATAAATTACCGTTCTTGGAGATGCAGGGTCTAAGGGAGAAACTGATTGTAAAGATTTTGCAAGGAAACATAAGGGTAACAATAGAAAGAAAATAAGTGTTAGCATTACATAGACCTATGTTCTACTCCTGGTTCCGCCCCTTATTATCTGAGTGACTTTAACTTACTGGGCCTTAATTTCTGTTTCTGTAAAGAGGGGCCCATCTAACTTGGGGAGCCATTGAGAGAATTATGCAGTGGAGCATACACCCGCCAGCTCGGAGTCTGGCACTAGCTGGCGTACAGTGAAATATCATTAGGAGGCGGAGCATGGGGTTGGGAGAGGTTAACCCCCGTAAGTGCCAGAGCCGGAGGGAGCTCTGGAGAGCAGGATGCCTGGTGTCTTACAGCCCCAAGAGGGAGCAGCTGGGGGAGTCTTGAGCTCACGGTTACCACCTTCTATCACATGGCCAGTCCTCTCTGGACATAGCTTAGAGAGTTGTGGCAGGCACCTGACCCGAAGATAGCTGATCTGTAGGCTGGGCTAACTGTTCTATGAGATGGCTTAGTCCAAAAGGTTAAGTCCAAACCAGAAAGATGGATGTTTCCAAGCCAATCAGATTTTCTCTCTGTCTCTGAATGGTCCATGAGAGACAGAAGCAAGCAAGCAACCAAGGAGAAGCGTGCGTGCACGTGCACGTGCACGCGCGCGCACACACACACATACACACACAAGGTGAACCTAGCTCCATCTACAGTAAGATGAGCACTAGAGCTAAGGACAGCAAGCCCCTGCAGCTGCCGCAGGTGTACACTGAACCCGCAAAGGGCACCCTGGACTCTGAATGTCCTTCCAGGTGCAGAACTGTATGTAAGTCTCTGTTTCTTGAGGCAGTCAAAGCTAACAGAGCACAAAGGTGCCTAGAGCAATGCCCCACTCACCAGAAAATCATGCACCTAGGAAGCTGGACCTCAGAGAAGCCCAGGGTCACTCACTAAACTAGTGATATAGCTGAGGCTGGAAACCAGGCCGACTGACTCTTAGTTATGGAGAAGAGGAGCCAAATTTGGGTTCCTCCAAGAGCTGATAGTCACGGTTTTGTAGGGAAGGGGTGAAATGCAGGGTGAGTCGAGGAGTTTCAGACATAATCATTCTTGACACGAGATCCAGTTGCTCCAAGGTACCACTTTTGTTTTTTTTTTTTTTTTCAGACAGAGTCTTTCTCTGTTGCCCAGGCTGGAGTGCAGTGGCACAATCTCGGCTCACTGCAATCTCCACCTCCCAGGTTCAAGCAATTCTCCTGCCTCAGCCTCCCGAATAGCTGGGACTTATAGGCATGAACCACCACGCCCAGCTAAGTTTTGTATTTTTAGTAGAGACAGGGTTTCACCATGTTAGCCAGGCTGGTCTCGAACTCCTGACCTCATGATCCGCCCTCCTCAGCCTCCCAAAGTGCTGGGATTACGGGCATGAGCCACCACACCCAGCCCAATATGCCACTTTTGCTAGAGTGTATCTTCCTCTCCTCGCCTACTGTTTGCAGTGGATTCTTTCCTGGCAGACCATCCTGGGTCACACTGACTTCACCCTTTCATGATAGCTCACACCATAGGCAGTGTGGACATTGCATAGCAGTTTGTTAGTGACAACCACACACTGCTCCAGGTATGGTTTATGAGAATGTGTGTGTGGCTGTGCTTGTGTGTGCATGCAGGTACCCCTGGGCCTACTCAGAAAATCCATAAAGTTCTGTGGCACTGGGAGCCTGTCATATGCTTCCTTTCTCTACTGTAGTGAGTGCGTAGACTTCAGCTAAGAACTCAGTGGTGCCCACAAGACCTCCCAGGCATTCCATGGCAACTCTCATCTTCCCTCAGGACAATTTCAAACCTTTGTAAGTCTCTTAGGAACCCTCTCTACCAGCCATTTCCTGCCTTCCTCTCAATGAATGACCCTAACTTGTATCATGAGAGGACAGAGGCCTTTCATGGAAACAACTACACTTTCTACCCACAGCCATAGGTTTAGTCACCTACGTATGTAGCTCTTTCCTTCTCTTGTATTTCCACGCGAGAAATACCACAGTGCCGTGGATCCCATCACTTCCTTTACTCTTTCCTTCAGTGAACAGTCTTAAAGGCCTAAGGTGCTAGGAATATTTCCAAATTCTTGACAGACATTGATCTTTGGGATTTGGGCATAAAAAATAGGAATTTCTGGGAATTCTTCGAAATTACCAGAATTATAAGTTATTTAAAAAAGATTCTCCAACTTTCTTCATGCTCTTTCTTCATTACTATGGAAATCATCTAAAAATTTTTATTTAACAAATAAGAAATATTAAGTTTGGTAGCCTTTGTAAAATATTTGTACTTGGTAATATTTATAAAGCATTTATACTTTGGTAGTAGGTGTAAAAAACTAAAGCTTCCTGGAAATATTCAAATGCTGGAAATCACCAGTGAACCTCACTGGGTAGTATTTGACTAAGTAACATCTGATTTCCTCGCAAAGTTAACAGGGCCTCTTGGAATCACCTGTGGAATTGTCAATTCAAAGACTTTCTTTGTTTCCAAAACTTGTTCTTTCTCTGAATACCATTCATAGAATTTGCATAATGTTTACTATAATATAAACATAGTTATTGTATTTGGAGGAGTGACTCACTGTTAGCAGCAGAAAATCCAGGAACACATGTTGATGACAAGACGGTAGCTACAAGCAAGACTGACCAGTGAGACTGTAGCCACTTCTCTTCTACATGCTCCTGTCCCTGTTCCAGGAAATTTTGACCTTAGCCTTGAACTTCATGTGTCGATGTTTCTTGCTCTTGCTTTTGACATGACATCAGTGGATGCCTTAGACCAGGAATGTTTCTGTGTTAATTGTTGATCTTTGATTCTCAAAGAAGAATTATAATACTTTTTCCCATTTTCTCAATTTCTTGATTGATTTTTCTTACTATTTGGTAAACATACATTTCCTGAGAAATGCAGAGAAGGAATTCCTGCATGGAAGTGGGAAGTGGGTGAGTAATGGATGCCACAGTTGTGACTGAAGGCACAGATTTGGGGATTCTGAATTGGAAGTCTGGTTGTACTTACTGGCTGTGTGACCTTGGGCAAATTACTTAACATCTTTGAGTCTCAATTTTCCTAGTGGTAAACTTACCTCATTGTTGTTTTGTGGTTAAATGTGTGTGGTTTTGAGGTTGAGTTGTTTTGAAGTTAAATATGTTTGTGAAGCTCTTAGCACAATCTCTGGCACAGTATAGGTGGTAATATATATTGTAGCTATTCAGACACAAGTCCCAGTCAAGGGACTTCTAGTGCTATCCAATAGAATGGGAATGTGAGATGCAGATGTGACTTTAAATTTTCTGGTGGCCACATTAAGAAAACAAAAATAAACAGAAGAAATTAATTAATTTTAACAATACACTTAACTCAATATATCCAAAATATTATCATTCCAGTATGTACTCAATATAAAAATTAATGATGAGATATTTTGCTTTTTTTGAAATGAAGTCGTCAACATCCAGTGTGTATTTTATACTTAGAGCACATCTTAATTTAGGCTCTAAATTTTCACTGGAAATATTTGATCTGTATTTAGATTTCATAAAGTTTACAGACACTCACATATTCAAGTTGTTTTAAATATACTTAAAAGATGCCCAAATCCCGTTACTGGGTATATACCTAAGGGAATGTAAATTGTTCTATTATAAAGACATATGCACACATATTCATTGCAGCACCATTCACAATAGCAGACATGGAATCAACCTAAATGCTCATCAATTGTAGACTGCATAAAGAAAATGTGGTACATATACACCATGGAGTACTGTGCAGCCACGAAGAACAAGAACATGTTCTTTGCAGGAACGTGGATGGAACAGGAGGCCATTATCCTTAGAAAACTAACGCAAGAAGAGAAAACCAAATACCACATGTTCTTTCTTATAAGTGAGAGCTAAATAATGACAACACATAGACACATAGAGGTGAACAACACACACTGGGGTCTATTGGAGGGTGGACAGTGGGAGGAGGGAGAGGATCAGGAAAAATAACAATGAGTATTAGGCTTAATACATGAGTGACAAAATAATCTGTACGACAAACCCCCAGATATAAGTTTACCAATATAATAAACCTGCACATATACCACTCAACTTAAAATAAAAGTTAAATAAAGAAAAAAGAAAACGAATTTACCAGTAATGGAATCAAATAT